ATGAAATAAATTGTTATAAAATTAAGCATCTTGAGCAATAAATGTCACCCTCAACAAAACTATTTTTTTTTCTATTTAGAACATTGACACAAACTGAAAAGTCCTAGGCTATCTATCCACAATAATTCTGCAGTGGTAAATTCTTCTTCTTCTTCAGCATTCTGAGCTTTTGAGGTTCGGTGCTGCGAATATCACCTGCCTCCAATGATCTCTGTGATCATCCTCTCTTTCCAGTAGGTGACTCCAAGTATCTGTAGATCTGCTTGGATATTCAAGCAATCTTCACACAGTAAAACAGGTCTCTGGTTGGAGGCTTTCATTAAACAATCGCATCTTTGTCTCAACAAAATATTTGTTATAAAAATATATATCACACAATCATATCTGCCCCCCAACCTTCCTTATGGAAATCTGAATCAAATAATCTAGTTTTTTTCTCACAATAAAGTTTCATCTGGATAAAAATTCTACAATCAGACAATTGTTTTCACTCCCAATAAAATATATTCTGTGCGTCACATAATCTTTTTCTTCTGTGTTCATCCCTAACAGGATGGTTGGCAGGCAGTGTTGCGGTTTACAGCCAGGCTGTCTGTTTTGGCCCAACACACTCGTTATCAACAAACCCTTACTTAGTCATTTATTACAGCATGCTTTTTAAAAGGCAGTCGGCTCTGTGGCTAAGTCGATGACAACGCTTCGTAATGTCGGGATGCCGGGTTCGATCCCAGCTGCAGGCCATGTGCCTTGCGCTGGTTTCGACAAGAAAGGCGACCATCCAGAAAGCAATGGCAAACTACTGTACATAAATTTGCCTAGAAAAACTACACAACAGCCAGGGGGCTTTTGAGGTTGGTTCTGCAACATCCTGTAAAGGATACGCAACTAACCTTTTAAAAGGCAGTAAGTCTTGCCTAATCGTTTCTTTCTCAACATAAAGAATTACCCATTATGAGTTTACATCGACAGAAACTGTCTATACTCACAGTACAATAATTATCTTTATTTTAGAAATCCACATCATATACACAACCTTGTCTTTCTTATCAGCTTACAATAAAATATTATCTACAGTAAAAGTCTAAAATCACGCAACTGTCTTCATTTTTCTTCTCGGGTCAATATATGCTTTCTGCAGATAGGTATCCAAACCAATTTATGTGTGATGTACAATCTCAAGTTGGTTCATTAACATCATTTCAGTCTGTCTGCTTCTTAATGAATTTAATGATAAGTATTGTTCCAATAGTTCTCATATCTACATTTCTCACACAGTCTGTCATCACACACGATAAAATATCTTGCTTACAAAAACCTACACCACAAAATAATACTCTGTCTCAGGTACTACCTGGGTTGACATTTTACAGTCACAAAATCTTATCTTAAATCACAATAGAAGTCATGTGGTATGAAAGCCCCGTTTTAGAAAATTCTTGTCTTTAAACCAGCCCCCCCCCCCCCCCCCCACCCCCCCCCCCCCCCCCCCCCCCCCCCCCCCCCCCCCCCCCCCCCATGGAAGCCTATATTAAAATAAGTCATAGCTACAGAGGCCTGCAATAATAAAAAGCACCCCCCTCACCCTCTTACACTTTCCTTTAAAAAAAAAAAAAAAGCCTAAAATAAAATAAGCCCTCAAAAGGCAGCTTACAACAAAATAAGCCTCTGATTCAAAAGCCAACAATAAAAAGGGTACCCGATATGGAGGTACACACAACCTTGTCTTTACCAACACAATAGTTTACTGGTTGAGCTGTAAACATCACATGAATTTTCTTCATTAACCAATAGCACTTACTGATCTGAATGAAACTTTTCAAACAAAAAAAGTATATTATAAATACACTGCATGTCTTGTGCTTTCAATGGCTACAATTCTTGCGTCCAACCTCTACTATAATGAAAGTCAGCAATGAATTTGTAGAATTATTACACTGAGGACTTGATGGCTCAGTGTTATTGCAAAAATCTTTTGTGTTTTTAAAAACAAAATAAGCACAACTTTGAAGAACTCTCACATATTTCTTGTCCGCTTGAGGGAAAAAATTCACACTGATTGATGCTCTGCGGAACTGGTTGATACAGTTGTTTATGGTAATACTGTAAGGATCAGGTCTCTACGCACAGAGACAAAAGTCTGTATATCCCTCCAGGTTGCTTGCTATCCAGGTTTACCACACTAAAGTGAGATTACAGAACTTCAACCAGGATCGTAGACCAACAAGGTAGGTTGCAGATACTCCGTTTAACCTCAAAAGAAGTCAGAAATAAGGCACCCGTGACAGCTACACCTGCCAGGTGTACCCTGCAGTCCGATGCAGGTAAGGATAAAAGTCTGCAAATGAAGTGATGGGGCTGAATAGTCAGATCACCCTACAGACACACAAAGTCTATAAACAAGGCTGGGCTAAATGGATGTTTCTAGTGAATTGTTGTTCACCATCACTCGAGCTGTCAGTGGGGTCTGAGGATGAGAAGACAAAAATAACTATCAATAGAAATCAAAGAGCATACGGTAAACATTCAATATATGTCAGCAAAATGTGAGGGTGATCACACAGCAGTTACTGCCATCGAGGTGTGAAGTAGTGGGTCTTTTTATACACCAGGTCTTGATATATGAAGTGAAGGTAGCCATTTCACTTCCTCATATCTTACCTATAAATATAATTTTTTTTAAATAAATATATTTAAAAAATAAAACCAAAAAGGAATTTGGAATGTTCAGAAAAATTGTCTGAAGCTAAACAACTCTCAGTGAACCAATCAATCTCTGCTTCTTCTACTTCACCGGCTGAAAATTCTTTTGTTCGTCATTTTCTGGACATTGTTCCAGAACCTCTCAGGCAGATGCGCTTCAACTTCGAAGAAAACGCCCCTAATTAGTCACCTTTTATGACATGCTTGTTAGGAAGGCAGTAGATCTATTTCCCCCCCCCCCCTTCCCCATCCACGAATGGGCACAGGGAGACATTTGAAGTAAGTGTAGCCAGTTCCTTTCCTTATTATCTTGTGTATCCACCCACACACATACATACTTGAAATATTCTGAACAATTGTCTGGAGCTAAGTAAAGCTCATTAAATCAATAAATGAGAATAGAAGCTGGATAGTGACAAACAGGAACCTGACCAGTGTGACTAGAATGCTTTTCTCCCCTGGCAGCCCCAAGGCCAAACCTAAAATTACAAGGAGTAGAGAAGCAGACACAGGGAACACTGTAAGAAGCTGTAGGTGAATTAACAGAACAGACAGCTGATTTCACGACCAATCGCAGGCTCAAATACCAATAGCCACCTAACACGGACTTTAAAAATGTTAAATGTGCACAGGTAACCTCCTTTTTTTGCCTTTATGTAAGAAGGCTGGATGGTTCACTTAACCTCACAATACTGGGGATTAGGGTGTGGGGGGATGTTGGTCTTAGTTTGTGAAGTAAACATATCACTTTCCAGACCATAGATCATACAAGGTCTGCTTAACTGAGAGGTGGACATTGCACCTCTAAGCCAGTCTGAACTCATGAATGTACACAATGCAAAACCTCCCTTGTTGTCTCCACTAGATGAATGGGTAACACTATGAGCTATACCCACCAGAGCTTGTATAACATCATACATACACACAGATACACACAAACATAGTTATATATATATATATCATCAAATATAAAATGTAATCTCTTCTTATTCATCCCTTTACCCTCCATCGGAGCAGAGGTCCTCAATGGATGCCAAGCTGCCTTACTCTTTTTCTACTAGTCTGCTGCAGCTCCCTTTATGTCCTTCCCATAGTATTCATTTGTCACTATTTTTTTTAAACTTAATATGTATAGAAGAGTCTTTTCATCTAGGTGGGTTGGTTTATTCTTTTGTCCTTTTCAGACTTGTTCACGTTCTGTTAGCTTTTGTGGCTCAAGTAACCTATGGAATTACTTGAGAACATTAGGCGAGGAGAGGAGTGGGTCAAAGTGCCACCTGAACAGTCAGACTTGTGTAGGGTCATAATCACACAACCGAGAGTGCAGAGACTGGCCAGCAGGTGCCACAAAGGTGGAAATTCAGCAATTAATTCAAGATAATGCTTGCTAAGAGGATTTAATTATTTACACAGACGGTTCAGTGTCAAGAGGCAAAAGGAGTGCTTGCGAAAGTTAATGGTCAACGTTTGGTGCAGGACAGCATAGCGTATGATATCACAACATCCAGCTTAAGAATGGAGGTGGAGGCAGTCACTGCAGCTTTCCGCTGGTTAAAGAACACGACACACACACATTGTGATTGTGACTCAGAAAGCATGCTGAGGAAGATCAGGACAGGCATGCTTTGTGAAGAGTGGCATGCTTCTCTGCGGAGGACACGAGTGAGGAGTATTGTCTGGATTTTTTCACCGGGAAATGCCAGTGTGTTGGAAAATGAACAGACGGAGAGACTGGCTGGCTCTGCACAACTTTGTGGTATACTGATGCATGATAAGGCAGATGTGGTTAGTGCCTTGTGGGAGAGTATGTAGTTCAGAGGAGCAGATGGATCACCAGTCTGGTGAGAATGATGCAACGGAAAGTGACGAAAGGTTCTGACAGATGCTTGAGGCTCAGAGGAAAGGCAAGACGGACTTTAATCAGAATGCTACTGACACCATTAGTATCGGAACTCTTCACTGGCTGCTGAGGATGGGAATGGAGCGCTTATGGCAATACCCCGAGTGCTATGATGTCGGTTCTTGACTTATTTATGGAAACTGCCAGCCAACCCAAAGACAAATGCTCCTTAGGCACCTCTTTGTAGCCTACAGTTCTTTGTCTTTTCCTGAGCACCCAGGTAACAAACAGGTTATCTACTATAATTGTAATGTTCAAATACAAATTTAAAAAAAAAAAAACACTAAAGTAGAATCTTAAATATATTTTATTTTCCATCTCAAGCATTTCAATATTTTATTTACAAATAAAAACAACTGATGTTTTAAAATCATGATCTAACAGAGAAAGATGTTCTTACCCATGATCCTGTGATAGGTCTGGGTTTGGTAACTTGTATATTATCTCTCTTTGGAGTCAAAGGTGCAGTGATCCTCTTTGCCATAACATGTGGAACGTAGCTGATTTCATTTTCTAACTGATGAAACCTATTTTTTGGTGAAAGACACTTCCTAGACTGTGGCGTGGTGCAGGAATCTTTAACATGGCCTAAAATTTTTGGAACAGCGGGTTTGTTTGTTCTGTCACAAATCTGTTCTTTATTGGTGATATTATCAATGCAACAATTTTTGTCTCTGCCAGTAAATGATACTGTCCCACATGATGAAACTCCTTTACATTCCTGCTTGGGTGGGCTACACTCCGAGTCTGCAGAACTGTCAGTGTTTTCTGAGACGGACCGATACCTACGCCTTGACCTGGATGACCTTTCACGACTCCTTCCTTGTTGACAATGATGCACTGGTGACTCCAGTAGTTCACGCATGGTAGGTGTTTCCATCTACAATGACACAAGGCAGAATAATTTTTAAAAATTTATATCTGAAGAGGAACAGCTACTAATGTCAAAGTCTATCTCGCAACACCAAGATAAAAATATATAAAATGCTGAAAATACCAGTCGTTTTATATGGCTCTGAAACTTGGAGCACAACTAAAAGAGACAAAGCCTTATTACAAAATTTTGAAAACAGAATCTTATAATAAATCTTTGGACATATGAGAGATGCAAACAGCAGAGGATGGTGAGTGAGAAGTGAGTGGAAAGGATATCTGCAGCAATGAACCTCAAGGGCTCAAAACGCTGAAGAAGAAGAGGAGGAACAGCAGTTCCTGATAAGTTCATGATATTGTAAGTTAATAATAAAACAAGACTGACTGTGATGCCTCATAATAATCATTGTAAACCTTATAGGTTTGATAGCAGAGAAAACCTCTCATACATGATACGCCTAAAGACAAAAGGGTGCATGACAAACCTATAAAACATTTGTTATCAAAATGTTACATACATAGAAAAATACTCATTTTGTTTCTTTCTTAGAATGCATAACTTTGCTTTGCAGGACTTTTTCCATTATCTTAAATACAGTTACACAAGCATGTGGAAGATGGTTTGACGTGCACAATGAAACTTTTGTGTTTCCAATTAGGTGCTAGTGAAACTTCATCAAGTCTTGCTTTCTAAAGAGAAAATTCATTAAATGCCATGATAGGTTTTTTTTTAAAAGACAATAGTGAATATATTATTTTGTAAAAGCACTAGAAACTACATGCTGGACTGACATTAGAACGTGGAATTAAAAATCTCACAAAATAAGGTTAAAGTTGATATGTTGGCATGAAGGCAACCAGCATGCAATAATTGAGAAAACTAACACTGACTAACAATATATGATTCTTAAAAGTCAGCCAGTCATTAAAGACAAGTAGTGAGAAAAGCATGAAGCAACAAGCTTACCACAGCTTCAACCAATGATACAAATCTATCAATAATGACTATTAAATTATGATAGGAGTCGGTGTGGCATAGCGACTAGACGCTCGCGTGCGGATCGGAAGGTTGTTGGTTTGTTGACTGGCGGAGACTGACTTTTTCAAAAACGACCTCGACTCCCAGGTCGACCCAGCCTTAAGTGAGTACCAGGTGCAGTCCTGGGAAGTAAAGGCAGTTGGCGTGATGCTGACCACATCACTCATTTTGTGCGGACTGATCTATAAAAATATAGGTCTAGCTCTATATGCCCTATATGCCTAAAGGTGTGGAAAAGGGGCCTTCACTTTTTTTTTTAAATGATACACATGATATATTTTTATATGTATGTACGAGAAGTCAATATATAGCGCCACCTAATGAACTGAGACATAAAGTTCATGTTGTTGCCACCTATGACACCTTCAGAAACCACCAACTACATTTTCCTGCCATTCAATAACCATTTGTGACTTACTTATTGACTTCCCCTCGTACAGTGATAGACACCTACACATAATATGATAAATAATAATTAACTATAGTTTCAAAATAATACTATAAGGTTGTAATTATTTTATGAACAATGTCTAGCTACCGCACATGTTAATTTTGTTTTTTAACCCTCACAAGAATTAAGCATGCAGAAATTGACCACACATGCAAAACGTCAATGCTCATTCTAATCTTTCAACATGCTAGCTAACCATCATACAGGCAACCATGAATGACAGAATACTAGAGTTCTGTTACATGCAAGTGTAAAGTTAGGAACAGTTTAAAACAATAAAACAAGTAAAACTTAAATATTTTTTTTTTAAATCTCAAACATCAAAGAGAAAATATTTTTGAAAGTCTGCTTGCTGAAATGTCACATTCTGTGAGTTAAACTCTAATGTTTTATGATATACTTTTTCCCTTTCTTCATTGTGAGGTTAATTTTCTGAGAGTGCAGCACTTCTCAAGAATAAGAGAATTAACTAGTTAAAAATCATGCATTGCATGCTTGAATATTGCAAGTATGTTAAAACTTAACCATCAGAGCCAGCATCATTAATCTCAATTTAAAATGTGATACACAAGCAAATAAATATTGCAGGCTAAATTATAAACAGAACACAAATTCTGACTTTTATCTCACAAAATAAGTTACTACCATGAAAGCTGAATTCTTCTTCTTCACTGTGTTCACTGGCTCTAAACTTGGGCAGCCAATTCTGTTTGTTCATCCACTTCTGCTTCAGTCTTGTTCCGGATCTTCATGCCCATTCGCATTACAGATCTGGCTTATTTGAATGCAGACTGTTTGTTCCTTGCCTCAGAGGTAGATGCATTGCGGCTTTGAAGGAAACACTCCTAAATAGTCCACTTTTATTCCATGCTTGCTGGGGGCTGTGTGTCTTTTCTTTTATTTGTTATATTATTATTCCTTATGCAAAAATATATTCCCTTCTACATATAATGTATCTAGGATAAACTAGATCTGTTGCATTAAAAATTAGGTATTATAAAATGATTAAAAACAATATAAATATTCAAGAAAGGGTCAAGAATGGTAATTATACTTAAACTATACAGATATAATAGTATAACTGGTTAAAAAAAAAAGCGAGAAAAGAAATGAATCAATATCTTGGAATACTTCTACAAAGAAGACTGTTGTTTGTAGTTATATTTCAACTGGTCTATTTAAATTACCTCTTTGAGTCCCAAGGAACGCATCATATGTTCATAGGTTCCTACCTAGAGCCCAAAGAACGCATGATGCGCCGACTCAAAGAGTTAGCATATATCTTTTCATGATATTTAAATTAGCAATATAAATAGTGTTTGCTTTAACCATCTTCACTTTGTTACACTTCAAATTTAAAAACTGTTCAATCATCTGCTTTGACAAAAGCAAGTCTCTATATTTATACTCAAACACTCTTTGTTATTCTTAAGTATTATTCTGTTTAAAAAACATAAAACCTCCATCACAACAAGCAATGAAGCAAGCAGGGAACAGTTTAAGATGAAAAGCAGTAACAATTTAACAGGTTAAACAGAAGACTGATTTCAAAAACAAGTTGAAAAAAGGAAAAAAGTTTTACATTACAAGAATAAACTCAGCAATAATGAAACAGACACCTTTAAAAAGGGTTATAGAAATAATCAAAACACACTTAAGTTATTTTTAAAAAACAACAACTGGAAAATGAAGCAGCAGTAGCATACAGTTGTCTAATTTGTGAGAACATCTGTTAGGCAGGCATTACCAACAGCAAACCCTAACAAAATGGTATGAAATCTTACAGAGCCGTGTAAACTGGAGAAGATCAACCTCTTTCTGAGAGGCTGTGAATGTTTTCCCTCACAGTGGACCACAGCTACTCTATCTGTACAATAGTAGCTCCTCACTCCACACCCCTAGAATGTTTCAGGCTACATTTATTACTTCAGGTAAAAACCTATCCAGTTACAAATGTATACACAGGGTTTCCACAGTACTTTGGAGGGGAAGAAAAAGAACTATAAAGTGACTCTCTCTCTCTATTAAAAGTATTCAACTATAGCGGTTCACTTGCTTTCTATTTTGTTTTTTAGATCAAAGCTCCTTTCGATCATACTCCATTGTGATGAGGCAAACATTTAATATACCTCTTAAGTGACTATTAATAATAGTTCTACAAAAGATAAGACTCACAAAAGTGTCTGCAACCCCAGCTTAATTTCTATGTGGCAACCAGTTTTGTGAAGCACATTAAATAAAGACTACAATTGGAAAGAAAATCTACAAACACCATTCAAACAGCCCTTGTAGAAATAATATGAAATACATTCAGTGGGGAAAAAACATGTCAAACACAAGCATAGAAAAGAAACAAAGATTTGTATTTAATTTTTAACAAATCCCAAAGTACTGCTGGAAACCCAGTTAATAATGCACATAGCTAACTTGAATAACAATACTTACAGGACGGAAGACTGGACAATACAACTTACAGGTTTATTAATTAACCATAACACAAATCAAGTGATTCATTTAAAAAAATCTAACTTATGTTAATATTTTTACAAAATATTCAAGGAGAAATTTAAACTACAAACTTACATATTTCATTAAAAAAAAAAATTACAAGCAAATAATAGTTCACTTTGCTCACATTTGGATAAACAGACAAGATGACAATGCCAAACAGAAACAATGCTGAAGAAAATTTGCCAAACAGTTAAATTACCTGGTCTAGTTTAGGATCAATGTTAAAAGTCGATGAACTGCTGGCTCTTAATATTTCCTCATTCTTATTCTTTGATCGACCCAAGGACGGCAATCGTTTCTAAAAATAAACATCACAATCATCAAATTTATTACATTAAAAAATCTACCTCACTATCACAAATCACAGGTTCACAAATCTGATCAATTATAATTATCCCCATCATAACTTTAAGATGCCCTGTCAACTGGCATAGGCGATCATGCTGCTCCACAAGCTGGTATCTCTAACAGTTTCATCTGCCTGTACACATATCAAATTCAATAAGCCTCTTCAGCGTGCGGGTTCTGGGATCCTATTGTGTGGAAAACAAAAACAGACCCACTGTCTCCCTAGCAAGTATGTGGTGATAGTCGACTAATTAGGATTTCCTTCAAAGTCAGAGTGCATCTGCCTGAGAGGCAAGGAACCAACAAACTTCATGCAAATAAACAAGATCTGACAAAGATGTGCAGCCAACACACAAGTTTCAGAACAAGACTAAAGTCCAGAAGTGGATGAACAAACAGAACTTTTCTTCAGAGTTTACAGCGGGAAGCGCACAGAAGAAGGAGGGGATTACACCTCCAATGTAGAAGTTTTCTTAACTAAACTATTTGCTCAGGTAAACAAAGAAATGTTTTAATGCAGAGAATAGTAATTACAAACCTACCTTAATAGAAGCACTCAGTGATGTGCTGCGGCCCTGCTTCTTTGAAGATAGAGGTGTGGAAGAGTTTTTCATAACTTGTTTCTTCAGCTTCATATTGCTCGGGGTATTAGGTAAGGACTGTACATGAGCCAGAAGACTTGCCAGCTCTGCCTGTGTGTGGCTGGCAACATCACAGCGTGACAATTCACGATCAATATAGCAAACCGTGGTGTTGACAGTACGACCTCCAAGGTGTTTCTGTTGAATATTTAAACAAATTATTTATTCTCATCAAACTATAGATATGACAGTGGTGAGGGCAACTAATAAGTTACACCATCATCATCAAGTGCCTTGGTGACTGGCGTGGGCGATAATGCCTCTCACCAATCTGTGATCTTCTATTGTCTACCTCTAACTCTCTTTTCCACAGGTCTTTCTAGTGGTCACAAAATGTTCCAGCCTCCTTCTCAGAACATGACCAAAATTAATGAAAGTCTATTATGGTGTCCGGGGAATTTTAAGTAATCTTACAGCATACGTTTCTCAAATATGGGGATGTGGGTTAACCCTAGTACTTAGCACACATGTTAAGGCATAGACTTTTCTCAAATGTTGGATTTAATAATTTAAAAAAACTGTCACTACTGTCTGTTTTACCACTTCTGAGGGCGGTGGAGACAAGGGGAGTCCTTTAGTCTGAGGATTTAGGGGCCGCCTGGACTGTGCATCTTCATGTTCATAGGCTGCAAACTGGCAAACAGTTTAGTCTTGTTCTTGAACCTCGGTTTTGCGTGCATGCACATTTTACTGATCTAGCTTACTTTAATGCAGGCTGTTGGTTCGTCACCTCTCAGGCAGATAAACTCTGACCTCGAATGAAAATCCTTAATTAGTCAACTCTTACGTGACATGCTTGTTAGATAGCAGTGCAACGATTCTTTTCCTCTACCTCCAAATGGGAACCCAGAACCCACACAGTGAATAGTTAAAACAGACAGCTGTCAATGATTTATAATAAGTTTTCAGATCTCTTTGCTTAAACACACTGTCATATTGTCATGAATAGCATGAAACTGTTGAGGCATCTTAAAACAATTTTCATAGTAGTGGTTCAAAGAATAACATAAATCATCTCTTCACTAAATACTCACAATCTGGTCTGATACTGGTACATTCTCATCATTAGGTGATGCCTGGGCATTCCAATAGTGTGCTAAATCTACAATCAGTTCCCGTGGAGCCTGAGACAGTCAAAAATATTATGAAAAGCAGGAAAGTATCTAAGAACAGCAAACATTAAACAATTAGTGATTAATTCATTTTAAAACATGCATTTTAATAAATATGAAAGCATCAATACGAACTTAATATCTGACAAATATACTTGATGGATTTTTCACCAAGAACAAAAAAAAAAAAAAACATGTAAAAACACATAATCATCAATAATAATAAAACAAAAACAAATTGTAAATGGTCAACCATTTTAAAATATGCTAATAATTAGCACAAATATATGAATTCTTTCAGCTCCAGTCAGTTGTTACCCCGTCTATCCCAAGGAGTTAAGACAACAAATAGTTCCGATGTTCAATATAAACACTATGTGCAGAAATAGTTTAACTAATAGTATGGATGCAAAGAGTTAATGTAACATGTATATGTGACAGAAAACAGCACCAACATCCTATTATCTTTGATTAAAACATGTATGGTGAGTTGTCTGGCCTTGAAAGAGTCAAGTCTCGAGGAAATGTTCTAAACTGATTAACCTTTTTCATGTTGTCTCAATAGATTAAATTTTAGAGTGCCCTAAAAGATTTTTAATAAGGCTCTAATCCAGCATATCCAATAGTTTCTAAGGAGGATAGAGAATTCTGAAACAGTTTCTGTGAAGATGGAACTCTCATACCATGTCAGGAGGAAAGTCTCTATATCAAAATCCCTCCAAAAGATGCAAATCTTTGTCAGGTCCAAATGATCTGAATGCCAATGCATCCTTCTTAAAAAGTGCTTCAAAGGACGCCCATATTATTCAACCAGCCAAAGAGTTTTCCAACAGATTATTAACCTTCAGGGTAGGGTTATTCAACTGACGGGTGGCGGGTCAAATCTGGCCTGCTGAGGCCTAGCGAATGGCCTGCAGATCATTGCCAGTTGTACTGTATTGATTATCTTTTATGCTGGGGCTCGGACATCTGGCCTTTGATCTCTACTTTAAAAATGTTGGCCCATGAGTAAATTTCCTTGAATAGTCCTGTTTTAGGCGGGTGTCCCCGTTAATAAATCCAAAGGAATTTTTTTTTATAAATAAAAAATTAGCAATTATGAAGGTTTTCACTTACACTGCTAGTTTTTTGTCTGAAAATGGTTTTTAAATATTATCTTTTATATACCTCTTTGCAATACCAGGCATGAGAATACAGGTCTCCAAATATAAAATATGAAAATTTCTACTTCAAACTATTGATATAGAATGTTTGACAAAAACATTGGAAATAAACAATATACTTACATGAAACAAGTTATCTACATTTTCAATCATAAAACACACAGCTGGAGCCATATGGGAAGCCTGGCTGCAGAGTTCTGTCCCCTCCACACTTCGATCAACAAAGAATATTGGAGCAAATATGGTGCCCAGTGTTGAAGGTGTCATCTTTGTTTCTACACGGTTGGCAATGTGTCTGAGTAGCTCCAGCAACTGGAGTGTGAGTTTCTGCACCGGTAATGGCAGCAGCAGCATCAACAATTGCAAGGCTGACAACTTTTTCTGATTGTACCGACTTATTTCCTCTTGTGTCTTTGCATGCTTGCCAAGATCTGTTAGTAAAAAATATGACACGAAGACACAAATTAATGCTAATTTAACTATAAACAATATGACTTGTTGCAAACTCTGCAAATCAGTGAGTCCAATACGTCCAATTACAACAAACCCCAAATCAGTCACCTTTTGTCTACTCTTTACTTCTTCAGAACTGGGGCCCCAGAACCCACATATCGGGTGCTTCACTCGGGTGGAAGCCAGTATTTTGTTCACAACTCTGCTACTAATAAAGAAATGGCAATGAAATTTGGAGTTGACTTACCTTAGCTTTTAGCTGAGGCTAAAAAAAAAAAATGCTAGAGCAGACGAGTCAAACAGAAACTAGTAAAAAGTACACTATAACAGACTCATAAAGTTGGTTCAGATGACACATTAGGGTCAAGATAGCAACAACTCTATGCTGAACCAAGCAACAACAAAATTGTCAATGCTATGAGCATAAGTTAAAACTGTCTGCAGTTTACAAAACAATGCAGACACTATAAAATGTATAAGATTACAAGGCATTTGATAAACTACTGGATACCAAATTTGAAGATTTGCAGGGAAAAAGCGCTTACAAGTGAACAATGGCCATAATTTATTTTATCTGCTTTAATGAGAAGTGATGACGAACACACATAAAGGAGATTTTCTATAACAGTATCATCAACCACAACCTATCCCATCTTCCTTCCTCAATAGTTTACACCTCAAGTGATCACTGACCCTGGATCTGTGTGGGTTCTGGGGCCCTGTTATAGGGAAAACAAGAATAGACCCGCTGCCAACCCAACAACATGTCGTGAGAATCAACAATATGGAAACTTCTTTCAAAGTCTGAGAGGCCAGGAACCAGCAGTCTGCATACAAATGAATCAGATCTGTAACACGGATGCATATGCAACACTCAGGTTCTGGAACAGGACTGCAGTCCAGAAGTGGATGAACAACCAGAACTTTCCGTCAGAGTTTACAGCTGGTGAACACAAAGAAGAATAAGAAGGATAAAAAAGAGACTCTTAAGTAATTTTGTTAAGTAAATATGCTTTTATAATTTATAAAAATTGTTTACTCTGGTCGCTACAAATGAAAGCATATGAGACAAACATGCTAAGGATTGCTTTAGAAAGCTGTGTTATGAGCAAAATAATCCTGTAAAAGCTCACAAGGATATCCACCACTGCCAGAACTTGAACTGATTACCTACCTATTACTTGTCTGTGGGCTTCCATGTGGCGCTCTGTCAGCAGAGGTTCGGGCAACTCTCTTAAGAACTCCTTGAGAACACAAGCGACATCATATGCAGTATAAACACTAGCATCAATGCAGATATTTCGGCCATGAGATATCAGTAGCTCTCTTAAGGTATTTATCCTACTCTTGTTACCAGGCTTGCGGAAAATTCCTTCCTTGCACACATCTACAGGAAAAGCAACAAAAAAAAAAAACCATATGCAAATAAGTTTTAAAAGAGTTGGATTATAACGAATATAGAGCATGGCCTGACAGCCACAGGTAAAGAGTAATTTTATGGAGACAGTAATTTTTATAGACAATTTATGGGACGACAGGAAAAAGTATCATCATGTGCCCTGCCAACTGGCGTAGACACTCATGCATCTCCACAGATCACGATCCCTGTTTGCGTGGAACAGCTCTCTTGGTCTCCCTGCATGCCATCGTCTCAGCCCATCCAGCATCATCTCTCTTGGTCTGCCTCTACCCTTTTTCCACTGATCTTTCCAGTTGTCACGATGTTCTCTCTTCTCATTATGTGGCCAAAGAACAGTGTTTGTCTCCTTCTTATAATGAAAAGTATTCAGTATCAAAATATTCATCACACTACTCATTATATACTAAATTTAACAGTAAGAAGCTAATAAAGTACACGTTCTCTGCATTTTTAGCTCCCAATGTTAATATTGTTGTTTTCCCCCCATTTAATAAGCTTTTTTTTTTAAAACTATAACTAAATATTGCACTAAATCTATCAAGATATTCATGTACTTTGACAATCTACTATACATTTTCATCCTCCTCCACATGGAAGAACAATCTGTGACCTACACAAGCTGTCTAGCACTGGGGAAAGCTATAGTTTTTTAATTTAAAGCCAAATCTGATTCTGGACTTTATAAAATGTGTGTAGTATGCTTTTGGTGGTACATCATTCTTAGTAATCTTTAAGCTCTACCTACACAGATGATTTTATTAGTCACAGCTTATTAGCTGATTAGACTTCATTCTCAAGAGATATCCAAAGCATTTGTTGCCTCTTTACACATTCAATCATGTTTAGCAGTTACATCTCCCCCCCCCCCCCCCCCCACTATAATTTAGGGGCCAAAATTTAGAAGAAAAAAAAACTATTGTACAGCCCTTAAGTTAGTGGTAACCATATACATCATCAATTATGAATTTTTGCAACCATGATTTCATGACAACAAAATCATAAACTTTAACTGAGATCACCTAGAGGAGTAGCACAATCTGTTCAAATTTATAAGCACTGAATTAAAGCATAAATTGCTACATGATGAAAGCTGTATAAAATATAAACTGATAACAAAAGTGACTTACTCTCTTCTAGCTTGAGAAAGTTAATGAGGGGAACTGTAAGGTACACTCCTGCATCCGTGAGAGGCAAGCCAAAAAACCCAGATAATGGCTTCTCTGAAAATACAAAGCAAAATACTGGAATTTTCTGGGCGGTTACCATTGATTTGGTAAAGGATCTCTTACATTAGCCAGCAGATACCTCTTTAGGCTGGTTGAAGTTTCACATCCCCATCGGGCAGCCACAGGAAGAGGGCACAGAGGGTCAAATATTATCAATAGACAGAAGTTAGAAGTGTCTGGAATGTTTTACAAACTTCCACAGCAACCTCTCTAAAATTGTCCATAACGATGATAAAGTGAACATCACAACTGCTAAAAGATGTGTGGTATTTTGGGAATGTAAGCATAAGCTGCCCATACACCCTAGCAGTTTTTAAAAAAAAAATCTCTTGTTATGTTAGTTAGTCGACAGATTATCCTCATTGCACGACGAACCACTTAGTCCATAAGTGCTTGGATCCCCTCCTCAGTAAATCCTGCAGCGTGCAGTGGTTAACAACACCAGTTCTGTGTTGGTTCTGTGTTGTTATGTGAGTGTGACTAAGGAAGGCTAACCAGCACACTGGATTGACTGCACATGGGATACAGTGACATCTTCATAGACTGCATGATGAAATGTGGCAGTGACCTTAAATTGGTGAGAAAATCTAGTCTGCATTACTGTTGCTAATTCTCATAACATAGTTAAAGATCTCCTTTACTGTGATTTTGCAGAAGAGAAAAGTCAAGATAGCTAAACATATATCAAAATAACAGAGAAACATCAACTGACCTTTTTTCTTGAACACCCCAACACCAATGGATGCCAAACTGTGCTTTTTCTTCTTGTGTTCATCTTCCTCTGACAATAACACCTCCAGCTTATCCCCACTTAGGTCCAGTAAAAAGGCCAAATGCATGTGACACATCTCAATGAATTTCTCTGGCACACATCTGATTGTTCTCATCACATATTTCTCTTCTAATGTTTGCAGCTGAGCCGGAGTCATCAGGGCCATGGCAGACAGGGTTACTTCTTCTGCAATAAGACAAGTCAACAAACATTTTCTAACAGAGATCTCCAGCTTTGTATTTTTTTTTTTTTACCTTTAACAGAATAGGGTTGTCTTGTATCTTCTGTAGCTGGTTTTACATTTACAAGGTGTTTTTTTTCGTTGTATCTTTTTCTTCTTCTTCTGAATATAGGAGTGAAAAGACAATTTAAAAAAAAAAAAAACAGTTGTTCCACTTAATGTACATGAAGTACAAACACAGAAGCAGTTGTATTAAGTAGTTAGCATGCTTGCTTACAAACAATAATGGTCGGTCTAGACTAAATCTCCAGAACTGGGTGAATTATTTTGTTTCCGACCAATCCTTTGGGATAAAATGGGCTTTAGCTACTAGCTTTCAGAGCTTCGGAACTGCATGATCAAGTTTTCACAACACCAACACCCCCTGAAAACAAGCGATTAGAGCTGGAATTGGTTATTCTCAGGTCAGTATGTTGAATATATCTTCTTCTTATCCTTTTTCAGTATGAAAGGCAAAGCAGTATCCGTCATGAAAAAGAACTAGTGCTTGTTATATTTTTTTTTTACGATCACGCAAAGAAAAGAAAGTGTGTGGTTGGGGTGGGGGGGGGGGGGGGAAGCACAAGAAATTCGGTGTTTTGTGGACCAGAGTAAACCTATCTTCGACACAAGGCTCAAGTGTCTGCATTCACACAGGGCCAGGGAAAGTACACATGCATTTTAAATTTTTTTTAACTAGGTACCAAATTTAAAAATACATAAACAGAAAAACAAATAATAAGTTTCCCACATTTAACTGAACAAAACTTAACATGTCATAGCCGTTTTTAACATAACCACACAGGTAACGCTGCAGTAAAGTGTGTAAAAAGCAGTAGTTTTTAAAAACAAACGCACAAGGAAACCAGCAGTTCTGCTTGAACCCGGGCTAACTTTTCCCACTAGCGCACACAATCGCATCGTATTCAATTATGTTGCGAGTAAATAACATATGCTTCTTGCAATGACATAATTACACATTCTCGATGGTATAACACTAATTAAATATTTATTAAAAGGGAAAATATCATACTCCACATGTCAGCGGCTAAAATAAAACGAAGCAGTCAATATATTCGTATAAGAAACTGCACTTTCCTTTCAGACACAACTACTAGCGGGCAGATAAAATAGCTGCAATTCAACAGAGCTAATGTCGGTATCCAATAAGCAGAAGATCGGAAAGCATACAGGCCGTTTGCTAAAACGGATCCACGCCTAAGCAACGAAACAATCAATGTCATACATACAGGCAGACACTTTACGATGCCCTACAAATCAGCTGGGCGGAAACCAGGGGACTGCTATCCTTGCAGGTCGGCTGTGTGCCTCGGACCAATAATGAATATTTGATGGTATCCAATGGTGTATCCGCGGGAGAACGCAGTGGTTATCCCCCAGTAAAACAACTCCGTGACGTTCAGGGGGACACAACTTCCGTATGAATTCGATGTCTACATGTTAATAAATGCGTTCAACTGAGTCTGAATATCTCAAATGAACTTTCAAGAGTTAGAAAACGCGTGTTTTCATTATGCTAGAACACGTAAAAGCAAATACTTTCAAGCTGCATGTATTATTTATTACGCTAATGTAACTCCTACCCCCTCCCTTTTCCTATGACACTGGCTCCTTCCTAGTCGACACAATCTTAAATGGGTACTAGGTAAAGTCTTAGGAAGTAAAGGCGGGCGGCGTGATGATGTTGATGATATCACTCCTCGAGGTCTGTAAAATATAATCTAGCGCTATTTACAAGATATGAATTAAGGAGTGAAAAAAAATGTAAAAAGTAAAGTTTGCAGATATATGTTCCCTATAGCGTTTGGATTTGAAATCCATTCAAATGCGGAACCCCTCGGGTTGCGGAGAGATAAAGCCACTTTAGAAATTTATGAAAAATGCGTTAGAATGAATCGTAACCATCCAAATAGACACCTTGTAGAAAACTGGCAATTCAAACAAAGAATAAAGCATAAATCGGTTGTACAATGTGTTCATGAAATTCAGGACAGATACCACCTCCCAGAAAGACGTCAAGGTATTCATAATGTTGCAAGAAACCTGCCACCACGGGCTCGCTTTAAAGCTCCAGAAGTCCGAATTAAATTGGTAGGTGAGGAAACCAAACAGTCCGGCCCAATCGCTCTTATGAACTCATCACTAAAGACCGTTCATTCTTACCCCAAGAATGGATACATGTTTATATTGATAGATCTGCATTTAAAGCCACCATTAAAGCAGGTTATGGAATCTACATAGGTTATCCCGATGGATCTGTTAAAGAGATTTTTGATGCATGCGGGGAATTCTGCTCAAATTATAAAGCCGAAATAATTGCAATGGAAACAGCAGTATACCACCTAAAGACTGTAATGGATGTTTACCCTTCAAATGCCAAAATATTGTCATCTTCACAGATTCAATGTCTGCCCTTCAAGCTCTGGAGGGCAGTGAACGCTGCAAAACTGACATAGCTAAGATAATCCTGGATGCTGATCAGCTTATTGTCATATACAACATCAGAATAGTGATGCAGTAAATTCCAGGCCACTCCGGCACACCAGGTAATGACAGACTGGCAAAGAAAGGAGCAACACAAAAACAACCACCTACAGCGACAATCCTACAGACAGCAAAAACACTTATAAGAGCTATAAACAAAGAGACTTGGTTGAACAGATGGGCCATGGGAGACACAGGAAGAGAGGTTTATAGACAGATGGCTGGCCCTGATCCTAATGAGAGCATTAACCATCTAACAAGAAGGGACCAGGCCACCATCTTCAGACTTAGAACACAACATACTCCACTCAATGGACATCTAAACAGAATACAGCCACAACACTCTCCAGAGTGCCAGCTATGTAACTACCCCTATGAAACTATGAACACCATCTCTTTGAGTGCCCAAAACTCAGCGAGACTAGAAGAATGTTACTCCCTCCGAGACCAGACAAGTGGAACACCTTGTACGGAGGAAAAGAACAGCTTGTGAAAACATGCAAATTCCACTACCTAGCATTGGGCCAAAGGGCGAAAGCTCATGCGCCGCTGGAACGATAACAACAACAACAACCCTATAGCGTTTGTGCCTGGCATCCTGACTGCTGTGATGGGTCTCCTGGCTGGTTGCCTCCGACTTCAGCACCTTCTTTTGCTAGGGTAGACTGGTCTTACCCGAAAAGTAAAGTGAAGTTAAATTACCCTTTCCCACATCTTCAGACGTATTAGTATTTAGAGACCATTCGGTATGTGATGAGATCCTCATGACGCCGGCCGCCCTTTAATTCCCATGACTATACCCGGCACCCATTGAAGGCTCAGTCGACCTGGGAGCCTAGGTCATTTAAAAAAAAAAAGTCTGGCTCCGTCAGGACTCGAACCCACCTCCTTCTAATCTGTAGACGAACGCCTAGTCGCTACACTAGAGAGGCTCTCCAAAAAGTTGGTACCTTATTTAAGTATGCCAATGAAAGAGAGCTGTTGGTACCTTAGATCTTAGGTCTTAGTCCGCAACATATTCTTATAGTTGACCTAGGGCTCCCCAGTTGATTCAAGTCTAAAATGAGTAACAAAAGCTGTCACGAGAAATAAACGCGGACAGCAGGATGTGGAACACGTCACCTATCAAGTGCTGTTTAGTCAATAAAAAATATGGGTCAATTCATATAACGAGCCATTTGTTGTTTTACTCTGCTAATGTAATATGTTTTCAAAGCAGTGTGGTCCAGAGCACGTGAAGATCTAATATTTTACTTATTAACAGCGTGGAGCACTATTAACATTATATAACCAGTTATAACACGAAAGTTACTCTCAGAAAAGAGACTGTAACAAAATGGTTGTTGGATGTCTACATTAAGAGTTAATTTAAAAAATAACTGCTGTTCTAATAAATGGAAAAATGCACATTACTTACTATTATTTTTCTTTGAAGAAATGTAACAAGGGTGAAAGAAGATTCCGCTGTTTTAACTGGAAATGCCCAGGTTCAAAAACTGAACACGTCCTTGTCTACGGCGTAAAAAATACTTCACGGTGAAATATCGCCAGACATCAGGGAAACCAACTATCTTCAAAGGCAAATGGTCCACAAAGTACGAAGTTCTGTCCGCCTGCAGACTGGTCAATTAAACATCAGCGTGTCCACTCTAAGAAACCTGCACAGTATTTTATGGTTTTTATGATACAATAAGGTGGGCAGGGCTATTTCAGGGGTCAAGAGGGGTGTGACGCGCGTATCAACTACCCCTCTCTGATGACAAAGGACATCCAAGTGACGAGTCAAATACGATCATCACCTCGTTTAGTGTAAAATGTTATGCAACATACTGGAGACATCCGTGTTCAAGTGAGCACGGACGCGCAGCACACCAATCGTTTGTTGTCAAACACTTTCACGTGACCAGACCTAATTACATATAATCGTATCCACTTCTCGCTGGCAGTCTTTGTGAAAGGGGTGTAAGAAAGAAGATTAAGATGACAAACACTGTCAACTACCAGATGTTCTGCCTTGACACTGGTAAACTACCAGATGTTCTGCAAGTGAAAACAATGGTTGCAGCTGGGACAATGTTTGCTCGGCCAAGCTCAACACTGCCGAGATCTACTGTGCGCCTAAGCCGATGCCTTTTTCTGGCCCGCAGGCGGTTTTGAACACCTTCAATGTATTCCTTTTCTTAGTGGCCATTCACCAAGTGCTATGCTTACTAGCATTATCCTACATGTTTTATGATCTTTGCAGGTCCAGTTGATGCCTCGGACCCTAATGAATATTTGAGGGTATCCCATGGTGTATCCGAGGGAGAACGCAGTGGGTATCCCCAATAAAACAACACCGTGACGTTCAGGGGGACACAACTCCTGTACGAATTCGGTGGCAACATGTTAATAAACGCGTTAAACACTCGGTATGAATATCTCAGGCTCACTTAGAAGAA